TCACACAATGGAACAAAACAAGAACAATGATAAATTATTAACAACATCAAAACAATAATAATAATAACAATATCGAGCAAATAACTGAATAAATTAATTGCAAAACAACCTCGAAGTACTCGGGCAAATCTTGTGAATTGAGCGAGTGAAAATTCTTAGTGATCAACATGAGCACATCCAACCATATTTGACACTGATCGATGGGCATCGAATCTTTTTGTTGGATATATTCGATCATTCTTTTAAAGAGTTCCGTCAACGGTGCAGCCACCTTAAATTCAACTTGCTGAATAAAATTTTTCAATCCTAATGGAACAATACCATTCAACATAAACTAGCTGTCCATCAATTTCTATTAAAATGATTGCCATTCAGGCCTTCAAAAGGTGAAAAGATGCATAATACTGCTTGAAAACGACCGATCACAATAATAATGATAACATCGATCCATCAACAATCAACAACAATAATAATACTGAATAATTGATAACATTCATCAACTGATAACCGTCCCAAAAACGAATCCCATCAATATATCACTAACATGCTGCAACACAAAAGCCAGTTCACTCCACAATTTGGTTGATTTCATTTCGTGTCGATAGTGTCTGAACAGCTCATCCATCGTCGACAATGTTGCTACGAGTTTATCCAAATCCTCTCCACTCAGATATCCGCTCAACACACTGATCAGTTCAGGCCATTCACCCGGAAAATCATAACTGCCCATTATACAAACCACTTGCGATAGCTGCTTTCGAATGTTACCTGAAACNAATCGCAATGAAATGTGAATAAAAACTTAGAAAATTCGCCTCAAAAAACACATTTTCATAAACCGAATGATTGGAAGACTCTTCCAAGAAATTGAAAATCTAATACGGGTACATTTGGACAGATTAATCTGATAAAGTAATCATTAAAGAAATGAATCAAAATGAAACAAAAACAAATCAAATAAGCGGATGAAAGTCTCCCCAACGCACTCACCCGTTGCCATGAACATGCATTCCAAGGCGGCCGCTCTCAACTGTTTTCGTTCTTCTTCACCAATTTCCACTTCACATTTTTCTTTATTCTAAATTATTGGACGATAAAAAATTGTCAAATATATATGCAATGAAAATTTCCAGGGAAATCTCGTTGAAAAATTTCCCGTTTTTCTAAAATGTGCAAAAGATTCTTCAAAAGAATCTTTCATTCCATGCATTCCTCGAAATGAATTCAGGAAATTGTGAACCATGATAAAATTTGCAAAGCACTGAACAAAATTAACTGATTGGTGTGTGAAATTTGCAGCACTGAGAAATTCTGAACGGATTGGAAAAACGAGCTGAATAAAAGCATACCCAGCTTGCTTTCACGAAATTTTTCATCGCAACCGCAGCTGCTAAACGGATTGCTGGTGGAGACTGTTCGCTTACTGTCAACTGCATGAGGACAATACCAAAACCTGGAATAATTTTATGAACTGATAACGACCTGACAGATTTCTCAAAGAAAGATATTATTCAGTGATACCGTGATTATTCGAATATGTCTTCTGAAATTAAAAATTACTGAAAGCAATCCGGATGTCGAATTGAACGGGAAGGTGTTCTTCATTCAAAAACTCAAAGATCTAACCGGGCACTCTCTCCAACTGCTTCAGATTATCCTCAGCTTTACGTCTTGTTTGCGCATCTGGCTCGAGTGTTTCACTCAACGTTGTGGCCACCTGCATTGCGTCGGCTGACATTGTCTCCGGAAAGCTTTTCAATCTTTGTTCAACGTTTCAAACCTGGGAAGATGCTTGTAAACTGAACATTACAACTCCATTCATGACATTTCAAGAGTTTTCATTTGCAGAATTTTATCAACCCAAACAATTGAACATAAAGTATTC